GAACAAATGCAGATGAAGACAATTAGTGTAGCAACAGCCTCTGCAAACATAGAGAAAAAAGCAAGATCCTCAATTACAACACGGAGAACACCAACCCAATCACATCTGATGGAGAAGCTCTAGAAGACGTGCAGTCTTTCACGTACCTAATAAGCAACATTGATGAACAAGGAGGATCGGATGCAGATGTGAAAGCGAGGATTGGCAAAGCAAGGACCGCATTCCTACAGTTGAAGAACATATGGAACTCAAAACAACTTTCAACCATTATCAAAGTGAGAATCATCAATACGAACATCAAGAAAGTTCTAATGTACGGAGCTGAAATTTGGAGAACTACTACAAACATCACCAAATATGTACAAGTATTTATAAATAGTTGTCTACTCAAGATACTCAACATCCATTGGCCGGATACCATCATTAACAGCCTACTGTGGGAGAGAACAAACCAACTTCCAGCTGAAGAGGAAATTAAGAATACACGATAGAAATGAATAGGACATACATTACGCAAATCACCAAACTACATCACGAGACAAGCGCTAACTTGGAATCCTGAATGGAAGCGGACTAGAGGAAGGTCAAAACACACATTACGTCGAGAATTAGAAGCAGATATGAAAAGAATGAATAACAATTGGGAAGAGCTGGAAAGGATTGTTGAGGACGGAATTGAATGGAGTATCCTAGTGAGCGGCCTTTGCTCCTCCACGAGGAGTAACTGGCGTAATTAAGTAAGTATTCATATACATAATATATAATTATTTAGTAATTATATAATAATAATCTTTTTTGAAATTAATTTAGGGAGTTACTATTTTCTTTAATTTTCATTCTGATATATATCAGTAGTATCATAAGATGAATATTCTAATTGTTACAAGACATTTATGATCGAAATAGACAATTTGATAAAGTAACATTTATCTGATGTATATTATCGTTGTTTTAAACTACATTCATTCATTCATTCATCTAACAGGTTTACATAACAGGAGTATCTATCCCTTTTATTAATTTCATTAGATAACTAATAGTTTCTAACTATATTTTGTAAGTGATGATAATGCCTTTAATGGTATTCATTAATTGTTATTAAACACTAATGTTTTATATAAATAAACTTATCAAATCTATTAAATAATATAATTGTTTGTTTCTATGTAGGTTGTGATAACTTTGTAAGGAAGTATTATGTATACATGTTACTTATAAGTAAATCTACTTATTTAATAAAACAGTATGGAAAGTGAGAATGGAAGTTTACTTAAGTGAATTGAATCATATGAATGTCTACTCATTCATATATATATATATATATATATATATATATATATATATATATATATATATATATATATATATATATATATATATATATATATATATATATATATATATATATATATATACTCTTAAGAATACGTTACCACTAGACTATCCGGGACGCCATCGTCCTCCTGTAGGATTGAGATGTATTCACCTTTGATTGATCACTGGTTGGTGATCAATGTCATGTTGGTCAAGTCCTTATTTAGTGCAGATTGGATCCTATCGACTGTGAAGCTAGCTGAGATGAGATTGAAACCATCAGTTCCCTAAAGATTACAGGTACACTTTGCCGATGAGTGCCAAAATAACACGACACATAGGTCAAGAGTTTCCCGTTGACTACTTTTAAACACCATTCTATCTCAACATAATGCGCGCAATGTCGAGTCACCTAGATCAGTGGTCATATTACAACTTGGTCGATAGCATTCGATCTGCACTAAGATGGACTTAACACACATGAGATTGATCACCACCCAGTGATCAATCAATTGTGAATAGCCTTAAGAAAAGTTAAGTATCATTCATGGTGAAACTATAATTAATGGATGACCTTTGAGCGATACTGAAGGGACCTTGAGAATGATCACCTACTGATTAGGACTAAATGAGAGTTATTAAGCAGTTAGAATTCTCAGTTACAGTTGATAGTTAGGGTTAGAAATTAGATTTAGGATTTTTATCACGAACTGACATCAGTTATATAGACAAATGTATGGATAAATTTCGCGACTCGTCATCTTGTATCTGATTGGTTCGTCTATAAATTATAGTCTCGCCTCATAATTTGTAGTGACCTACGTTTATCAAGAGAACGCGATTGGCTTAATGGAAACAACTATCATTATAACCAATCGTACCAGTGATTGTTTTACTGTTGTTGTTCGCTTAACTGTACCAAAATACATACCTTCTTCGTTGCTTGTGACCTTGCACGAATCCGGTTATGCTCAGTAACCACACTTGTAACCTGGCACGATCTCTGTATCCTTTCGATACCACGAAACCCCCAACAAACACATTTTGACTACAGCCATCAACTGCCTTCTGATATTTGGCTTACAGGGGATCTTATCGGTCAACTGGCACGTATTCTTCCTGTAGTGGTGATCATAGTCAACCGCGACTCGACATCACACTACAAGTTTATGTTGTATCCCTTAGAAATGGGAGATATTTCTTGACCAAACATATGTACTTATCATTTGCCAGTTTCTGATTGGACTAATATACCATAGATCAAGGATAATTTCAAAAACGGCAAAACACACTGATATATCCCGACGAGAATTATGAATGGTAGCTTTTGGAAACCATTTATGGACCAATACCATACATAGATTAATCAACTAAACCATTCATATTCGTGTTCTTTTTATTACAAGCTTTATTTTGACCTATGAACTATTATTATACGATTTAGCATTCTTGAGTTAATTCCAGTCTATCAATTACTATCTCCCACATTCACAGCCACTTTCGGCTAGATCTTGGTACAAATCTTATTATCTGCTTTACGGTACGATGTGGTTTGTTTATAAACCCAATATGTTTGAGATACATGGTTTATATCGCAGAGGCTGAGATTGGTGTTCTGGACTTAACAGGCCGGGCTAGACAGGATGCAGGACCGATAAAGACTCTAGACTGTTCGTACGGGTATACGCGACATTGGTCTGGTCTATAATTTACTGTTCTCTAACTGGCAGTATCATTAAGTTATATATTAATAACAAGGCAGGTATAATAATTCCCGCGTATAACAGCTCTGAAAGTTTAATCTTTTCCAAATATTCACTCCTATATAACATTAGGTCTTTAAAATATGGTTTATTGTTTCCTATGTAAAGAATATGTCGCTGGTAATGCATTACGATATTGAGTCATTTAGACTGGTGGTGATATTGCAACTTGGTCAGTGATGAAATTCCATCAATGTGAGGAACCGGATAAATATGCTATCGATTAAAATTACTGAAGGATCAATTAACACAACAATCTGTTGTCAAAATGTTGATGCCTACTGATGCAGAGGCTGTTGCTACACTAGTTGTCTTTGTGTACATTTGTCCGTGTATACGGAATAGAAGGTTCAGGTCATCTACGAAGTCCAAACCTTCTGATTGATTCTCAGGTGTCCATTGTATCCCGTGCTCTCCCTCAGATGTGGAGGTCTTCGTAATCCAGTCAACCACCAGAAGAAAGAGGAGGGAGTGTAGGCAGCCTTATCTGTCTCCGGTCCTCACTTAGAATGCATATGAGTTGTCCTCCACGCATAACATTGCACTGTAGTACGTCGCATCATTTGGGTATGATGTTGACGATTTTCTCAGGTGTCGAAGAAGTTTCCATAATGTTCTCCTATCCGCACTGTCAAATACTTGCTCTTAATCAAGGAAGTTGATGTATGGTGACGAGTTCCATTCTGTTTTAGATTTTGATAATGTTTATATACTTTACTCATTTGCCTTTTCTTCATTAATATCCTTCTTGTTTGCTTGTGAAAAGGTGGTTTGGCTGTTAGAGAGTTCGACCTCCAACCAATAATTTTTAATCCCACTAAACCTACTTCAGTTTGAACAACCGAGCAGTATCACTAATCCCATACTTTAGACGCGGCTCATACCAAGAATAAAGTGACTTAAGGCTTTTTAGTACTTCAGAGGTGTAAATCACTAATGAAGAGCATATCTTGAACATTCTGTCAACAGGACCTATAATTTTGTTGAGTAAGTTTTTGAGACTGGCCTATGCTTTTCTTAAAATAATAGTTGAATTATCCATCTGCTCTAACTTAAGGTGGGTTATTTAGAGAAAACACAGCTTCTAGATAAGGAAATACCGGGATCTCAAGAAAAAGTGGGCTAATTTAGAAATGTATATTGTCATCAGTGACAAGAGGAAGTCAACACAAATTTTAAATTAAGCCGGACGGTTGCAATTCGAGAAGGAAACAAAAAGTTACCAAAATTTTCCCAATTTAACTATAATATTATACTACCAGTAAAAGCCTGGAAACACTGGACGACCGTTTCATTCTAGCAAGGAACGCCTCAACAGTGCGCTGAGTAGTCAAAATGTCGAGAGTTCGCGAGCGTGACCGAAGGTTTTAAGTTTAGTCGCCGCATACACGGTCGTGGATACGCACTGCTGAGAAGCCCTATACTACGACGAAACGGCCATCCAGTACTTCCACATTACCGAGAAGTCTAACATTACTCGACTCATAATTTTAATGAAAATCAACAGTCTTCACAACCTCATACTGTTAACGATAATAGTTGTAAGTGTGAACCATTGAGAAGTCTTATACTATGACGAAACAGCTATTCAGTGCTTTCTAATTATCTAGCTGAGATCAGTACGTGACATGAATTGAAAAATCATCAATCTTTATGACATCTTCTATACCGGAGATCGAAAGAAAAGTCTAAATTCTGTTGAAAAACATATTTTATGAAAAATAATTTACAGAGATAATTCAACTTTATTGAAATAAAGCAGAAAAATATCACATATACATATTAGAAGAACAAGGAAGTAAGCTTGCTAGAACTTGACAACCGTTGAGTTTTCTGGTTGAAAGATCACAATGTAGGACACAGAGAGGTTTGTTTCATTTGAATATGTTGACAGAGAAAAACCCATTTATTTTGTGTTTTTTTTCACGATGTAACCACAATTATTTCACGAAGAATTAAACTAATTAATTCACGCTGTTCCAAATTTACAAATGATTGAAGCATAACTGAAAGTGATTCTAATTCTAAAATATCTTTTGATTGATGTGCCAACTAACAGAGAGAACAAAATAAAAACAATAAAGAAAAGTAGAATAAATTATGTATTATTTTACGATTATTATTATCATCCTTAATTCATTATCATGTACGGGTTCGTTAACCCGGTTTTGAGACACACTGAATTAATGACGCGCAGTATTTGGTTGTCTAGACGAAAGTAGATGACTAGGAATTCTAATCTTCAATTGAGTGGCTAAAATTTATATGACCAATTTATTTATTTATTTGAACACATAAATATTGGTACAAAGCAGCATCGAACACATATGCGCCACAAAAATCACTTGATATGTGTGTGGGCTGTGATACTGTCCAGGTTCCCAGAATGAAGCAGGCTTTCTTACGGGACTACACCCGGAACCTTCGACCTAAAGGTTTGATTCACAAGGCAGTGGAGCAGTGTCAGGAGATGCAGTCCCATGGTAGCCAGTTACCAACGATTGGTTCCTACGCCATTTTTTCCTTCATGATACAGGAGCCCATATACACTATTGGTTAAGAATCAGGGTTTTCCAACTCTCCTAGATGGATCATTCATATCCACCAACCCGGTTAAAGCTCCGGACATTCGCTTCTCGTTCTCTCAATTTCGTAAACAACATCCGTGATACGAGAAGACATTGAGTAAGACTGCCCTGGTATTGGTTGTATGCACGTGGCTATGTGAGAGTATTCGGAAAGAGAGAGTTGACTCTCCCCACCCTTGGCCGTACCAGGACTCATTATAACACTTTCATTTACCAACATAGAGATTTATTTTCGCTAAAGTTTATATTAGAATTTACAAGTGTGATTTATTGTACTTGAGAAGAATATGGTCAGGAAGATTCTAACAAGAAAAAAAAACACTTGATCTAAAGGGATTAAGTAGATTGAACAGTTAATAGAAAACGACTTTTCAACTTTGACACAACCACATTCAAGAAAGAAAAGAAGACTGATCTTTAAAACAGATTTTTCAGACGTTGAAGAAAAGCAATAGAATGGACATATATCACTTTGTAAATACTATTTGCATGATTTTGAGGAATGAACATTAAATCCATTTATTGAGTGATCGAATTGAGTGTGAACAGCCAATAAGAGGACTGATCAACGATAGAAGGTTTTCAATTTAGATTTGTGATGTTTAATTGACATGAAAAAGTAACAATCTAGAATTATACTGATGAAAACTTTTTGGATAGTAACGACAATACTTGAACAAAAACGTGAAGCATCCAAAATGTATTATGTACAAAAAAAACACTAACTAAATATCTAGAGGAGGGATAAATAGTAAATGAACCTAAGCCCATGTGACTAATTCTAAGTCTTATTGTTTAGAGTCTGCAACCATTGAGTATGGTTGTTGTGAGGGTATCAACTAAGTAGTTGAAAAAGAATACTATAACCTATTAGTTGTTTTTTAAACTTTGTTCATTATACTACTGAATGTCAAAATGTTCAGATGATAAAAAAAGTAGACATTTACCAACAATACGGAAGATAACAGGGAAAGTGAAACTACAGTCTCATTTACTAGTTAATAATAGACTTCTTTAGTAAGTGACAATACTAATAGCGCTGGAACTAGATGAAGAAAGCAGACAAGTGTTCGGTTTATGATAGTATCGTGACTCGAAAAATGTATATGATTGGCGTCTGTTCGGTTATCTTACGACTTCCTGATTGAAATCCTAGAGATGGTGCAACTTATCGGCTTGAGATGTTATTAGAAATGATATAGAACAGAGGGCAATTATGATCCTTTCGAAGTTTTCACTTACATTCTCCTTAAATAGAGATGAATTTAATTAACTGAAAGAATAGTATTTTTATCCAAACTGTATCAATCATTACATTTTATGGTTGTTTTGATTGCATTCCCATTACCTATTTTTATCCTAGCATAACGATATCTGTTCTTACTTTTGAAATGTTTTCTACTTCTGATACCCGATAGTATCAGATTTTATGTGAATTAAAAAATATCAACATTTCCACAGTTGAACTAACGAGTCAATCTAAGCGAGACCATGATTGAAAATCTGAAATCACTGGAAGGCTATTTCGACCTAGTATGTGACTCCTCAGAAGCGCACAACCACGATCTAGCATGCTGAACTCAAACACAGAACCTTCAGTCTCACGTGCGAACACTGAAACTCCCAACCATTGAGCCAGGAATCCAACAATGTTAATGTCTAACTTCAATTGATCCATGATATTACGCAACTTTCAATGATTATCTGAGGTAGATAACTGTTTCCACCCGACACAGATTCAACTCCACTGGTTACGACTTCCAATTATCCACTTAGAATACGCAGATGACATAGTCCTGTTTGGTGAAGACGCTGATGAAATGCAGTCTTTTGGTAGCACTGAGCAACAATGCCAAAATGTTTGGAATGCGCTTCTCTCCCTCTTAATGCAAGTTGTTGCTTCAGTACTGATGTGCATCAACACCTGAACTAAGAATAGGGAGTGAAGTAGTCGGATGTGTCGACAACTTCACTTATCTTGGAAGTCTGATTAGCCGTAATGGGTTGGTGTCTGACGAAATCTCTGCACGGATTCAGAAAGCTCGTTTGGCATTTGCCAACTTACGTCACTGTTAGGTTTGAAGCTTCACGAGTTCACTTAATCTACGAACGAGAACAAGACTCAGTGACCAAAGACCAGTAATCTAGCTATTGATGCGTTCCAGCCCCGCTATCTAGGAGGAGAAGTCCAAGCTTGGTATGGAAAATATATTCTGCAAACAGCCAGAAACGAACCCACAAACGCAATTTAAAACGTATATATACAAATATATATAATTGATATTGTCACGGGGAATTTCTAAACATTAATCAATGAGTTCATCAATTGACTGCCATTAATCATTTAATCGATAAGTTAATTAATATGATAAAATTACAAATATGAGTTTTGGGGATATATCGTCCCCAACAGTCACCTGTGGCGAAGGCGAGATATCCGTCTATCAATTAAGGGATGAGTATACTGCGTGGCAGTTCATTCTGTTCTGCTTGACGGCTAGGAAACGTGACCATTAAGGGTAGAGGATACTCGTAAGTTACTAGTATTCGATTACAAATATCTTAGAAATATTGCTCGCATGTGTTAGAATCACCGGGTAAGTAATAGTGAGGCCAGACTCAGAGTATTAGGGAATGAGGATGGTAGGTCATTTGATGAGGTTGTAAAGCTTCATCCACTGGGATGGTTGGGCCATGTGTTACATATGCCTGAACACCGATTATCACGACGCTCAATGCTGACTAGTGTTGTGGATGGTTGGAAGAAAGTTAGGGGCGGCCAAACCAGCCAAAACGTGGCATCAGTCCACAAAGTCACTAACTTCTGGTATGAGCTATGTTGGTAGATACAGACTACTTGATTGGGGTCCACGTGACTATCGTAACCAATGGTGGAGACTCTGGGTGACATGGCTCAGAATCGATCACACTGGAGTGGCTGTATACACTCTTTGTTTTCCCTTAAACTATGAGGCTAAAATTGCTTTCTACCTTTATTTCTACTAACTAATTCTTTCTTCCTGTACTATATCCATCCTTGTATGCAATCTTTCTTTTATATATTACCACCACTGAATTAACTACTTCTATGAATCCGGTGTTCATCTTGCTGTCCTAATGCGGTATGGCAACTTGCACCGATGCATATATGCTCCCGGTCTTACGTTGTAGCTGACTGACTGTGAAAATACTACAATGTTTACAAAATCCCATACTGAAAAAATTGTCAATAATTATTTATTAGTACTGAACACATTCATATCATTAATGAATAGTATATATATATATATATAGTATTAATTGACTTACCACAAAAGACTGTAATAGAATAAATAAATTATTATCCATGTAAACAGAATTCAATGTAGATAATTTGAATAAATCTTCAACTTTTTCATCAGTTACAATAATATCATATTGTTTTAAAGAATAATCCGATGAATCAAGATTATGTAATCTATAGGAAGGCTATCAATAATGATTATTATTATTATTTATCGAGTAATAAAGAAGAGATCATGATTGAAATGGAACATACCATACATAGAAGTATAAGTAATACTCGAAATATTTCAGATATACTCCAATATTGTATATATAGATCAAATGAATTCAATGCTAATAATATAGATATATTAGAATTGAATAGGAAATTATATATAAACCTACTCAATTCTTTTCTTGTTAAATTTTGTATACATATAAAAGTATATAATGCACCAGGCCAATCATCTATTCAAATAAAAGAGAATACATAATTTATATATATATATATATATATATATATATATATATATATATATATATATATATAATAAGATAACTTACGTATATATAATTGACAATAACTTAAACGTTTATATAATTCTAAACTTAATAGTATATCTTTGGATACAATTTCTATAGATCGTTTTATATAAGGTATAGATTGATGAAATTTATATCGTCTCTATGAAAGAAACAAAAAAAAAGAAGAAAAAACCAATAACAGTTCAATCAAGAAAAACTTCTTTCTGTAAAACTGTCTTTGTAGTTATATGGTGAGATTATCATTTATGAACAAACCAATCATATTTAAAATAACAAATCTTGGATTTTTTTTTAGCGCGTTAATTTAATCCACTCATTTGATTGAATACCATATTTAACAGTATTATAGCTGATGTACAATTCGTGATGAAAATTATAAATCTTATTTCTAACCTTAACATTCAACTGTAAATCTTAATCCTTATTCTTCACACTAATATAATAACCCTCATTTAAATTTGGTAAACAGTGGGTAGAAAATCTAAGATCATTTTAGGGTCACTTAAAGGTCGTCCATGAATTATAATTTTAACAGTTATTTAATAAATTATACGTGAGTTTATAAGAAGAAGGGAAATAAGAAATAATCACTAGCTCAGTACAAGAGCACTTAGACCATGTCAATTCAAATGAATGGTCCATCAAAATAATCTACACAGTAAAACAAAATTATGCACTGTTGAAATGTTTGCAATTAATTTATCATTTCTAGCCTGAACTATGTGTGCAAAAAAGTAATACGTGTAATTTTCCATCCTTTCATAACCCTAATATCTTTTTCCAGTATGTTTGAGTTTATTATTATTTCTACTATTATTTAATACTTTTAAACCCTCAAATGACTTGGTACGGCCGAGTGAGGAGAGTCAGCTCTACCTCTCGAAATGCTCTCACATGGCCACATACATACAACCAATACCAGGGAATTTGTAGGTGTCATTACCAAGGTTTGATTTGATAATTTCGAATAAATTGAGCATTGGGTTGATTGTTATAAATAAAAAGGAGGGTAGCTGAGGCGTTCCATATAATGCTTAATCCTACTTCTCTCAATAGAAAAGAAGGCCTTACCATACATCCTACTTGGACCATCTATCCTAACCATTCAGTCTGATCGTATTTACAATTTCACACTATCATATTACAAATTTAAACTCTATCCTTTCTTACCATAAAGGTCACACAACTTTTCACTCTTAAACAATGCACACATACATACATACACAAATTTACATATTTATCACTTATGAATCACCTTGACAGAAATGACATACATCAACTTGTTCAGACCTGTTTTTGATTGATCAAATATTATTCTTGCATTGTTCCGGTGTACTATTTAAACTTGGATTAATTTTAATTTGGTTATTTATTCTCTGAAGAAGTGACTTACACTAAGCCACGAAACGTCAGAAAAATCCAATTTTCTACTCATTGGGATATTACAAATATATTATTTTTATTTACAATACCAGGGAAGTCCTACTCACTGTCTTCTCGCATCACGGGTGTTGTTCACGAATTTGACAGAACGATGAGCGAATGTCCGGAGCTTTAACCGGGTTGGTGGATATGAAGGATCTATCTAGGAGAGTTGAAAAACCCTGATTCTAAACTAACGGTGCGTATAGGTTCCAGTATCATGAAGGAACAAATGGGGTATGAACCTATTGTTGGTCACCGGCTACCATGGGACTGCATCTCCTGACGTTGCTCCATTGCCTTGTGGATCAAACCTTTAGGTCGAAGGTTCCGGATGTGGCCCCCTAAGAAAACCACCTGTTTTGTTCTGGGCATCCGGACAGTATCACAGCCCTCACATAAATCGACTGATTTATGTGGCGTAAACATATTTGGTGCCTCCTTGTACCAATGTTTATCTGTTTAGATAATAATAAATTGCACTTTTCTAAATCGTGATCATTTATTATTGATCCATTAACAAGTTTTCATGATTCAATTGTCTAAATGACGTCTACGTTTTCCACTTCTTTCTTAAGTCAATAATTATTTATCATATTCCTGACCGGTAGATTATTCTCATTCCTTACAATTATGCAATCTTCTTTGGACATCTGAAAGCTCGGGTCACTTTATAATATAATTATTCTTTTTATTTATCATTAGACTGACATATTCTTTCAAACTGTAAAAAACAAATGTACATTCAGCATAAGTAAATGATTTCATCGAAAAGAAAAATTCCGTTGCTGAACTTGCTCTATTTCCATCGAATGATACTTAGTGGCCCGAAATCTGACTTCAGTTACATTGGATGTGTGCTCGTTATCGAATGATTTTTGTCGAAATATACATGTCGCCAATCCTCGTATATAATTATTGACTTAACTCGCGTTGATGAACATCGGAATTAAGTGAGTTGAATACGACAATTAGGTATAAGTAAGTATATTTCCTACACCCATTGATATGAACAGATAATCAGGGAAACGCAGCGAAGGGAACAAAGAGAACTGAGTGAAACGAAATGGATGGTGGATGGCATGTGAGTCAATTCAACGTAACCAAGCGTGAATCGATATTTATAGTCAGAGAAAAATAAGTTACAGAAACATAATGAGTAGGGTAAGTAATTAGCACACATACGACCACATAAAAAACAGTCAGGACTAATAAGCGAAGGTAAAAATGTGGCTTGAGAAGAACGAACAGACTGACTGGTCCAGAAACTGGAAGAGCCTATGAGAGTTTGACACAGGGTCAGCCATTACAGTTACAATGGGTTACTTGATTTATTTCAAGTTTAGTTGGAAAGAAAAACAAAACAAAAAAAGAATTACCATTAACGTATCCACCAGATAAATGTAAACGTTTGTCGCTAATGTGAAAAGTTCATTCAATTCATAGATCTATTGTATGCATATATGTTGAAAGTAATGAAATAGTTTACTCTTGCTGCTCTTAATAAACAAAGAATCGCGCAATTTAAATTATCCTCATAATTAATAGAATTAGTTGAAACCAATTTATCATCAGCTTGTATAAAATATTTTGCAGCTGTAAATAATGTTGATGCTTCAGAAGTCAGATTTTTAGCAGCGAATTCACATCTGAAGAAAACAAACAGAATTCACTTACCCTCTGAATATATATATATAGGTTAAACTAATTATGCAGTTATTATAAGGGGACCGACTTACTTTTATACAATCTGTAATGGACAGAGATTAAGACCAATCATATGCGATTACGTTCAGTTCTCAGTCAACAACTTGAGCACCGCCACTAGGGATCCCAGAAGTTAGTCCCAAGGCCATCCCTCGCTTCAGGCTACACATGAGGATTGCAACCTCCGCAAGGGTTGCGACAATTGTGTCAAATTATCGTTCAGGTTGTTTGGAGACAGTAAGTAACTGTAGGACAGCTAGAAGCCTGTTGTACTGACCCTAATATTCTAATCACAGATCTGTTTCTACAATATTCTCACAAACAAGTGGTTTTATATGTTTGTTTGCTCCATGACCCCCAAATGCCCTAGTACAGTCGAGGGTCAGGGGAGCTCGTTCTCATTCTCTAAATGCTATCAAATGACCACGCGTATACAGCTACTATCAGGGAAGTCCTAATTACTGCCTCCTTTCAACGGTGGTTTTTTTACGAAATTGAGAGCACGAAAAGAGGATGTCCTGCAGGGGCTTGCACCAGGTTAGTGAATCTGTCTAGGGGAGTCGGAAAACCCTGGTTCCAAACTAATAGTGCACATGTGGCTCTAGAATCCTGAAGGAACAAATGGCGTATGAACCTATTATTGGTCACCGGCTACCATGGGACTGATTCTCCTAACGTTGCTCAACTGTTTTGTGGAATAGAATATTGGCATGAGTAAAACGTGACCTAACCGTCTAAGTCTATGAACATTCATAACCCATCAGCTGATTTACTATCATCACTCTAATATCCTGCGTCTAACCTTACTATTTATTACTGACCCGGTGATTCTAACACATGCGAGCAATATTTCTAAGATATTTGTAATCAAATACTAGCAACTTACGAGTATCCTCTACCCTTGATGGTCACGTATCCCAGACGTCAAGTAGAACAGAACGAACTGCTGCTCAGTATACACGTCATTCAATTGATGGACTGATATCTCACATTCAAAATAGTCACGTAATTTATCGAAAGCCAAACGAGCTTTCCGAATCCATACAGAGATTTCGTCAGACACCAACCCATTAGGACTGAACAAACTTCCAAGGTTAGTGTTGTCTATGTGTTTGACTACTTCGATCTCGATCCTTAGTTCAGGTGTTGACACAGGCCAGTCCCGAAGCAACAATTCGCATTTAAAACGCATCCCAAACATCCTGGTATTGTTGTTCAGTGCTACCAAGAGGCTTTGCATTTTATCAGCGTCTTCACAAAACAGGACTATGTTACCTGCATATTCTAAGTCGAAAAGTGGACCTCCTGGTGGATCAATACCTGGAAATTTAGACAACAGGAACATATCCCCACTAGTAGGTCTATGATGAAATTTAACGAAAATGAGGAGAGTGGGAAGCCTTGCCAGGCACCATTTGAAGTTGTGAAATCAGATGACGGTTCGCTATAAGCTCTGACTCGACTGGAAGTGTTCGAATAATGAGCACTCACAATATTTATGTACTTCTGAGGTGCGCCTTTCAACGACAGTCACACAACATCCGGTCTACAGAGTGGAGCTGTCGTCTAATACTCGACTGACTAAGCTAGACCTATTTCCATTGTCAAATAGAATAACCAGAAGTGACTTAAACGCATTAAAAGAAACTAATTAGTGATAAATCTGCACCTGATGTGCCCTAATTTTTCTTGTCTTCCAATCTTGATAATTTATGAAGGCTCAAATGTCTCATGTGACGTGAGAAAGTATTAAGGATTACAGTCAGACTTTATTATCTGAAGGCAAAACTTTTCAGATATTTGACCGAGGGACTAAGCAAAGATAAGTATGTGCCCGTTAATTAATTGCGTGATATACGAGAATAGTGAACCTACTTTGCTTTGCCCAGTAAAAAGACTGCCGCTAACTCATGACATTCTTGGACGGCCAAACTTTCGCTACACTAGCTGGTTACACGAAGAAATCAACGATTACACATATTTTTGTTACCATAGTCAGTAGCCTGTTCGTCGCACTTATTTATCTCGCTTAATTTCCTTGAACGGAATTTTATAACATAATAAGCAAAGAGTACTTCTTAACATCAATGCTAAGAGCTTTGTAGATTTGAGGATAATTCAGAGAAGGATCCATAACTCGCGCTACTAATTTCGCCAATGCCCAATATCTGTATAATATCAGTACAATAAATTGTGTATAAAGTAGAAGCCTCTTGTGTTCAGAGACAATAAACCAACCATGGTTGTTTTCATTTGTGTACCAAAAGATTTCAAAAGTCGTGTCTTATGTGACTGGTACAAATGACAGCCTTATGGTTCTCTTCTACATTACGCACGATTGAAGAATGCATCAGGCTCTCTGTAAATCCATTTACCGTGACCATAGGGTCCACAGTGCTACAGTTACAAAACGATAAGACACTTATCACTTTTTTAGTCTCCATAAAATGCTGTCCCATCTGTTTCTGACATATTTGTGTTCCATATGTTTTGTTTTTATGTGATGACTCTACAATATATCTTTGTTCATGTCAGATACTTAGTCTCACTGTGTTTGCCGACTCAGGGGATTCAAACAGAACTTTCATCGTTCGCCATAGTTTGGTCACGGTATTGGCTATAAATCATGTATTGTGTGAATTTCAGGTTGCTTGTTCACTTTGCGCTACTGTCGGGTCTTGTTGTACTAGGAGCTTTGTGCGCCGTTTAGCGCCAATCGGTCCGTAAGGATAGAGTTTTTTGTAGTAGCTGACATCGTTGCATAAGCTTTTGACTCAGGGCTACGACATCATCCAATTAATGATTATCTGCTGAAGATGCCACAGGTATTCCGAGTTTGTCATCGCTTTAACCAGTATCACTTAATATTAATCATACCCACCAAGTGAAATCAAAAAACAGGTGTGGGGAGGTTTGAAGATATATTGATGGACTATCAATATACCGAGGATCGTCTGATCTAATCTGGCTAGCAATTGCCGGGTTTGTTGTGCGCGGCGTTCCCACTCGTGGTCTGGTGTGGATACACACCGAGCGCCTTCAGCTAGGTGAGTCCATTAAACTAATGTGGTCAGCATCTAATGTCGAAACTGTAGCGGTAAATAAATCCCCAAAATAAATAGCCCTGTAAGTTTTCGACATTGGATGCTGACCATATGTTTAGTGGACTCATCTAGCTGAAGGCGCTCGGTCAGGCATCCGCACCAGATCACGTGTGGTAACGCCGTGCTCAACACCAGCCGCAATCGCTAGCCAGATTAGATCAGAGAATTCCGATATTTTGGTTATCGCCAAATACACTCCTCCGATCTCCTCGACTCTGTCTTTTGATTTCTCTGGGTGGGAACGAAATATATTAGGTGTTACTGGTAGAAGCGTTGTCAAACACTGAATACCTGTAACATCATCATTGGTGAGCCCGAAGTGATCTGGTACACCTAATTGCAACTGTGAGTCCGTTTCTTTTTGGGATTTTTATATACAATTGACTTATTTTTTTATTTTTTTAAACATTGTGATTTTTTTCGTGTTTTTTCTTGGATATATATATATTTTCCCCTCGTTCATTATCGTACTTCATATTTCATCATGACTGAACAGACACCCAAAGTACTAAAGCTTAAGACTTTGTCCCCGCCTTCGTTTCAACTCATGCCTTTCTGGCCCGACAACATCGAAGCCTGGTTTTGCTACGCAGAAACCGTAATCGCCCACACAGCCCACGTAGAAGCATTTCACGTAAGCGATCTGTCTCTAGACCACGAGAGACGGATAAACCCGACTGGTGTTGGTATCATAACCAGTATGGAAAGTCTTCCAGAAATTGCAGAAAACCCTGCAATTTCCCAACTCAAAACCGAGTGACTCGAAAGACAACTCGGGAAACTTCCAAGCCGGCACGCGTTAACGGCAACCGTAGCCGGAGAACATAGCCGTCTGTTATACGTCACAGATGTGACAACGAGAGTTCGCTACCTCGTCGACACTGGCGCAGAAGTTAGCGTTCTCCCAGCAAATCCTAACGACCGACTTCACGAATCGGCTCTAAACTTACAGGCGGCAAACGGAAAACCGATCGCTACGTATGGCAAAAGGTACGTTTACCTTAACGTGGGTTTACGCAAACCCATCCACTGGATTTTCGTTGTTGCAGATGTTTCTATGCCAATCATTGGTATGGACCTTCTACAACACCACAATCTGATCATCGACACTCGCAAACGGAGGCTAGTAGACGGAAACACTAATTTGTCCGTTTGCGTAACTTCTTTTACTGGTTGCAGAGTATCCCCAGTCACAGTTAAGCATATGATAGACCCACTCTATCAACCACTACTCGATAAGTACCCTGGGATACAACAAACTCAACCGAAACTACCGTGTGTAACCAGCAACGTTACACATCACATCACGACTACAGGACCACCTGTATTTTCTAAAGCACGACGACTAGCTCCTGAAAAGCTAAGGTTAGCGAAAAACGAGTTCGACCATATGATAGACTTAGGAATCATACGACCGTCAAGTAGCCCATATGCATCTCCGTTGCACATGGTCCCTAAAAAGGACAGCAACGATTGGCGTCCAACTGGTGACTATCGGCGATTGAACGCGAAAACCATTCCCGATCGTTACCCGTTGCCTCACATTCACGATTTGACAGCTACCTTGAAAGGTACAACTGTCTTTTCGAAAATCGACTTGGTTAAAGCGTATAACCAAATCCCTATGGCTACTGACGACATACCGAAAACAGCTATCATAACTCCCTTCGGACTCTATGAATTTTTGCGAATGCCTTTCGGTCTAAGGAATGCTGCTCAAACATTCCAAAGATTCATAGACGACGTTTTTCGAGGTCTCAACTTCGTACACGCGTATGTTGACGACTGTCTAATCGCAAGTCCGGACAGAGAAACAAGCATCTGGATCTTGTTTTCGAACGATTACAAAAACATGGCATTACTGTAAACGTTCAGAAATGCCAATTGGGAACCGACTCATTAGACTTTCTGGGACACACTATCGATGCTCAAGGTATCCGACCCCTTAGAACCAAAGTGGCGGCCATTCTGGATTACCCAGAACCGACCACCATTAAGCAACTACACACGTTCAACGGACTTGTAAGTTTCTGTCGATGGTTCTTACCTAAGTGCGCGTCACTTATAAAACCGCCAACCGACCAACTTCGTGGAAATGCGAAATCCATCAATCTGGACGACACTCCGCAAAAAGCATTCTTTACAATTAAGGAACTGATCACTAAAGCAACAATGCTTGCACATCAGGACACCGAAGCACCCATTAGTATCGCAGTAGACGCATCGACCCAGCAATCGGAGGAGTCTTACAACAATGGGTTAACAACTCCTGGCAACCCTTGGCATTTTTCTCTAGAAGGTTGCTAGACACCGAATCGAGGTACAGCACATTCGGTAGGGAACTCCTAGCTATGTATTGTGCTGTACGGCATTTCCAACACTATATCGAAGGCCGTGAATTCACTCTTTTCACGGACCATAAACCGCTCACTTTCTCGTTAAGCTCCTCTTCAGACAAGTACTCTCCCCGTGAGTCTCGACAACTGGACTACATTTCGCAGTTTACTTCAGATATTCAACATATTTCTGGAGCAAACAATGTAGTTGCAGACGCCTTATCTCGCATAACTTCCTTGAACAGTTTCCAAGGAATCGACCTTCTTAAACTCGCCGAGCTTCAAAAAGAAGACACTGATCTTCAGCACGAGTTATCGTCCACAACCCTTAAACTACGCATCAAACAGATGGGAACAGGTAAGGAAACCTTACTTTGTGACACATCTACAGGTAGGGATCGCCCAATCGTGCCGAAACATTATCGACGCAATGTCTTCAATACATTGCACAAACTTTCTCATCCAGGTGTTCGTGCAACCATCAAGCTTATAGCAGAACGGTTTTGCTGGCCTGGCATGAATAAAGACGTGAGGGAGTGGGCACGCTCCTGTGTAAGCTGCCAAAAATCTAAGGTTATCAGACACAATAAATGTCCCTTAGGCTCGTTTAAAACTCCCGATGCTCGTTTCGACCATGTTCATCTGGATTTGGTAGGACCTTTACCAGATTCAAATGGATACTCTTACCTCTTAACCTGCGTAGACCGTTTCACTCGATGGCCAGAAGCAGTACCTATCAAGGACATCACTGCTGAAACAGTGGCCCGCACATTCGTCGAACGATGGGTAGCAAACTTCGGCTGCCCTTCAACCATCACTACAGACCGCGGACGTCAGTTTGAATCTGAACTTTTCCGTCGTCTGACCACACTTTTAGGAATCACTCGCTTCCGAACGACCGCCTACCATCCACAAGCAAACGGGTTGGTAGAACGTTTTCACCGACAACTAAAGGCTTCGCTATCAGCTGCAAACGTTTCACAGTGGACCGACGCTCTTCCACTCGTCTTACTAGGTATCCGCAATGCAGTGAAAGCTGACATTGGATACACTGCGGCTCAACTCGTTTATGGAACGACACTTCGACTTCCAGGAGAATTCGTGGATCCTTCGTCCTCTTCAATGAACATGGATCTAACCTCCTACACGAACAGGCTTACAAACGCAATGCGTTCAGTTAAACCTGCTTCCACTCGACCTCAATCAACTGATGTTTTCGTTCAACCTGACTTACGATATAGTACACACGTTTTCGTTCGTCGAGACTCGCATCGACGACCATTCGAATCAGCATACGAAGGACCTTTCAAAGTTCTTCAACGTGAATCTAAGTACTATATAGTCGATAAGAACGGAACCAACGATAGCATCAGCATCGATCGCTTAAAAGCAGCGTATTTAGAAGGAAATCCTATCTACGTCGATTTTCCTTCGGTACAATCGAACGACACGACTCCACTCATAATTCCTCAACCGACAACCAACACACGCGATGATACTCCGAATGTATCTGAAAATAAACTTAAAACGACGCGTTCTGGAAGAAGAGTTAGATTTCCAGAACATTTAAACGACTATTGCACGTAAGGCACTACTAGACATTTAATACTATCTCGATCTTTCTTTTTACGATATATAATAATTTAAAAAAAATACAATTTTAATATGCTTATATATATTTTTTATTCCAAAAA